CCTTGTAATTCAGCAAGTTTCCCTTAGCTATTGATTTAACAAATAAAGGGAAATGAAGTTCCTTGCCTATCCTCTTTAGACCATTCCTTGTTTTGTAATACTTTCATAATTTCCCCTCTTATTTATCTCATAAATTAACCAATCCCAACCTTTTCACTTGCTCTCTGTAGGAGAGATTCTCCCATTTTCCTTCTACTTCTCTCAGTCTCTGTCAAGACCCCCTTTGTGAGAAGAGGTAACCAACCCTGTACACCAGATTCCAGGGAAGGCTACACTGTTACTTTACATAAAAGGAATGATAATATTCTCCATACTATTCATCTTTCCATCTCTCATACAAACAAACATTGCTGTTTTGACCCAAGCTACAAATTGAGTAGAAATCTTCCTTGAATACAATACCCAGGTCCTTTTCCTTTGTTAATGGTATTAATTTAGAACTCTGTAACATTTTTAAGCTAAACTATATTTTTCCTTCCTTAACTTTTCCTGTTATTACGTTGCCCATTACATTGATGTTGCCCATTAAATTGAATTTCTCTCAAATTCCTAGTCTAGTTCAGACTAAACTAAATAATTCTGTCTCACCCACAAATTTAACTCTCACAACCTGCAACCCTTTGCAGACTAAATATGTTTAACGATGAAAAGCCTAGTTTAGGACCATAAGACACTTTTAACCTCTTGACCCTCAGGGTACATCTATATGTGCAGTGCAGTAACAAGTAGAAAGTTCCCGAACTAGGTGTGAACGCAACAGCTTGTATGCCAGTCTAGACAGCTTAATGCAGTGCCTCAGAAATATCCTAGCTCGATCTTTATGTGCTAGCTCCAGAACCAGCAACAGTAAAGCTGTGTTCTGTCCAAACCAATAAGCCCTGCTTTTCAGCAGAGCTAATCTCTGGCTAGCACTGCCATACATCATGTATACTTTCCTTTGCTTTTTGTTTTCTGACTAGTTTTTGGTCCATGACAATATTTTGCCTCATACTCCAGGACACCTCGGATTCTTCAGGGATCTTTGTACAAGACCATGTCAAAGGTCTGTTGGACATCAGAGCAACGCTGTTTGTCATTGACCCACTAATTCAGGGTTGTTCAATTAGAAGCCTGTGGGGTTCCTGATGGGTTAATCTGTGCCCAGTCCAGGCACAAGTATCCCCATTACTCTCCTGCCATTGCCATTGGGATCCCACACCATTCTGCTTCTGCTTCCTGCCTTTTGGGGGCAAAGTAGGGTGAGGCACCCACAGGGCTGAGGAAGCCTGTGGCTAATGGTCCCAGAGGGAAACCAGGGACTCCATACAGCATGGGGGTGCCGATGCAATGCGACAGGGGTTGCCTGCCATACAGCCCAGCAGTGCAAGAGTGCCAGTGTCATACAGTTGGGGAGTGCCACACAGCACAGCTTGTGGCCCACAGAGCATGAAGGCCCCAGCCGCTCAGAAGTAGGACAGCCTAGCATTATATTGACACGTTTGCCAGATATAGCTGTAAAATACTACTTAAATATGCCACTCAGCTAGTAAAGATTGGTAATTAGCTGTGTTAGTTTGAAGTAGAAGGCAGGGTAGATTTATGCCTTATAGACTAATCAAAGTAGATAGGTAGCTAGCACAAGCTTTTGAGAGCTGTGGCTCACTTTAGCAGATGCACACTTCTAATTGATTCACAAAAACGCTCTGTTTTCTGGAGAATTCTTGGAAGTGACTCAAATAATTATTAACACCCTCCACCAAAGTTAAATAATTGCAGTCCTAGGAGGCCGGTACATCTGGTTCTAGAATGTCTGTTCATCAAAAACTTGCTAATCCCACCAGACCACAACCATCTCTTCACATCTGCAGTCTTCTCATAGATTTTTGGGTATTTATGTTAATCCCTTTATAATGGAAGTGAAACTTGCCCTGATTTTCTAGGATTTCATCTGAAGAAGCTTCCAAGAGTGCTCCAAATTTTAAGTTCTCATTAAGATGAGTTATAATGAACTGATTAGTTATCTAGCAGCAGGTCTCTGCCATGCAGAAATAGAAGGTTAGATACAAGGCCAGAAGGTTAGATACAAGGCTTGAATTGCAAAGCTGGCACTTCGTAGTAAAAGGCAATATTCCTCCGTGATCCCTGCTGCTAGACTGAAGGACCATCTCTGTCAAGAAATATGCAGACAGGGTTCTTTGGGTAAATCTGATATTTTTTATTAGACCATCTCAAATAGTTAGACAAATTCTTCTTTGCAAGCTTCCGGGTATAAATACCCTTCATCAGGCTGAGGAAGTTTCTGCAGTTGGTGTGTGCTCTTCTAGTCCATCCAGGAAGAGCACACACCAACTGCAGAAGCTTCCTCAGCCTAATGAATGGTATTTATACCCAGAAGCTTGCAAAGAAGAATTTTTCTAACTATTTGAGTTGGCCTAATAAAAGATATCAGATTTACCCAACGAACCTTGTCTGCCTATGTCCTTAGACCAACATGGCTACAACCTACACCTCTGTCAAGAAATTACTTCAATCCCCTTACTCAGAGGGAAGTCCATCAGGATGTAGTACTCCATTGGACACGGGCAACACAGAGAGATGAGAGAGAAAAACCCAGAGCGCATATGGGCACTATTTGACTTTCTTAGGAAAAATACTGATGCAAAGGCGTTGGGAAAAGCAAATGGAAAACTCACCTTGGGTCACATAGCTCAGGAGTTTTAGTCTCTACCACCATCCTGGAATGAGGGTTAGTATTATTATTATTATTATTATTTTCTATGAATACACAGACTGAGATAACACCAAGATACTGTCCAGGAAACCGAGCAGTAAACAAGTATGATGTAAAAATTATGAAAGAGAATGATAGTATTATTAATCTTCACAAGGCAAGCCACACACACACACATGCTAATCCTTAAAGATTTGCCTGACAGTTCTCATGGTTATAATATCTGGACTCAGTCATCTTGTGACTGAAATCAATGTGAGCATTTCCTTTGGTTTTCCATGAAAGTCGTATCACAGCCTGTTGCCAAGCTTTTGCAGTGAGCCTGTCCACAGACCCCAGTTTTTGTCCCTCACAAGTATAACCTTCAAGTGATAGGCCTGGCTTATACCGCATGTTCTACCAATCACTTTGGGCTATGGTCCTCCCTTCAGTTATGTTATTCTGACCATCCCAACCAACTTTCTCCTGAAGCCTGCAGAATAGCTGAGTCAACAATTTCTTCAGAACAAAGCATTGACTATTTTTTCACCCAGAGGTACCTAGACACATAGCAAGGAGCAAAGACAACAGAATCCTATGCACATATCTTGCAACCTAAAATGCATTTCATATAACCCAATAACCCTCTTTAGCCATCACTAATTTGGAAGAAGCACAAACGTGTTCACAACATGCTCACTGTTTGTGAGTTTCATTGCATGCCACTTGGCTCTTACTGATACTGCTTGGACAACCTTCCTCTTTATTAGGCCAACATATTTAAAGATTTCAGCAATCATTTTGAAAGTCTTAGTCTTGATACATGCAAGTTTTAATCTGGATCAGAGGTATCCCAGTAAACACCATCTATGCTGTTTTCTCAAGCAGTCTTATCTGTGTTTAGTTTTGTTAGGGGGGAGGAGGGTTGTTTTGTTTTTGCCTTCCTTCAACAGTCTCATTTAAAATCTCATTGAAAAATGTTATGCATCCAGGCAAGAGACTCTCACAGGTAACCTGAACAGCATACCAGGTTTATTAAAATCACCACATATAATGCCATACCCATCTTTTAGTATATAAAAAGATTCACATGCTGCATTTCCTCCCATACCATGTACCTCCAAATAAGACATGCACTTTATGTTCGAAAGGCAGATTGAATAAGAAAAGATTTTTCCAGAGCCATGGCAGAATCCTGACTGAAGCTGCCAAGACAAAAAATTAGTTTTAACCCTCTGAGAGATCGTGCCAAATTAGCATCAGCTATGAAATGGTTAAAATAGACTCTGCTGCTGCAGACTGCACTTCACTCCTCCCTCCCTGACTGGGAAACCAGAGCAAGCATGGTAGCCATTAGAGCACCCCAGCCCCCAGGCTTCAATTCTGGCACAGAAAAAGCAGCATAGACACTTAAGACATATACCTCAATTCTGGAGGCCTGATTTTTGGGGTAAAGATCCATGTAGTAGGCAAATAAATGGTACTGAAGGGACATCCCCTAAAATGAGACCCACACATTAAATGGTAAGACTGCTGTTAAGTGCTTAACTTTATAACAACAACTTTAACTGTCCTCCCATGTGCACATGCTCTCCTATTTATGTGTTGGTTACAAAATCACAAACAGTGCCCTCTACATAATCAAATTTGCATATTGTGCTTTTTTTCTAATGCAACCTTTGATATAAGGCTACAAGATTACACGTGTATAGGTCAAACGGCCCGCTAGAATCCCTTAAAACAAACACACTGTAGAAAGGGAACATTATAATAAAAGGCACAGAACGAAAATGCTGAAGAATATGCTTGTTATGTGGTGGTAAAAGAAACTGTGACTTTCCTGAAATAAAATGAAAAAGCAGGTGTGTGCTTCAGAGGGCAAGATTTTATGCATCTGAATGGAAGGAGAAAGAAAAACAATCAAATAAACACTTCAATTGAAGAGCTTTGCCTCTCACTACGCACAGACCTTGTGTATAGACTGTGGTTCACAGCACCTGTCATTACAGTCTCTTTGAAGACCGTGCTACCAGGTAAGGTGTAACTCTAAATCAAACCATCTATCCTTCAAGACTCCTGATCAAGCTTTCTGCAAGTTATTCCTGGCCCTCAGTTCTCTGGCAAACATAAGACTGATTTGGTCTGTTCTGAAGACACCGCCTCAGACTGTTATCACAGTGCTAGCTACAAGTTCAATCTGCCTCCCACGCAGTCCCAGACATCCTAAAAGCACTCATTTCTTTGAATTTTGTTTGCTTTTCTTACCTCTGCAGGGTAAATCTTTCATAAAAACTTTACAGAGACGTTTTAGGGAAAATATTTATTTTGTTTCTCCACAAAAGATTCACTGGTTCTTTACATTGACTTTTGACTGTGCAATTATTTTACATACTATACATTGTATTTCACTCAAAACTATAGTTACAGTAATGTTTCCTTTGCAGATAATTACACAGCCGAGTAATTTATTACACATAACATTACCTATTCATCCAGCTTCCTTAACTATAAAGATACAAATAAGGGGTAGGGGTTGTCACAGAAAAGACAGTCGTTACACTTATTGGTATAGTAGATCTCTACCCCAAACACAACACCTACCCAATAGTCATTATATTGGGAAACAAATCATGGCCACAGTGCCTCAACCTTTTCTGGAATCTGCTTCAGGATGAAATTTCATTGTTCTCAACACCACATATCTGAAAAACCAGAAAAGGAGAAAGGAATATTAATATAGATTATTTATATAATTAAATAATAATAGCTAATTTTCCCCACCCAATGTAAGAGTCCAGACTAGACTCCACACTCATGATCCTTACTATCCCTCAACCATTTACCCCAATACTGAAGGAAATCTCCTAGTATATGCCTCTCCTATGATCCAGCCAGTAACAGATTTAATACTTTTGCTACCTCTATTAAAGGATAGTCAAGCTTATTCAGGAAGACCAAAGAGGTAAATCCAAAAGATCAAGGAACAAGCAAGGTATCACTGCAAACTTTGACTGACATTGAGCGTTCTGCATGTGTATGAAGAGGTGGGATCTCTCTCAACCCTGCATAGCTGCTCAGGATGAACAGAACAGCATTAAGATTTTGGACTATGCCATTCATGGTGACAAAACTACCTTTAAAAATAGAGACCCAAATCCAACTCCCCTTTTGGCAGAGAATACTTGTGGCTAACTTTAACAGTGTAAGTGGCATTGAGCCATATATGGAGACTTATAAATCCTACTCCTCCCTGTATAACTTCCTGGGTCATTCTGACCATTCTGGCCCCTGCCCCCAACTGGGCAGAAGCTACCCCACTGCTGTCTTTGTTATCCTATAATTTTTAAATGAAAAATAGAGAAACAATTTGGGGAAGGAACAGAGACAGAACCCAAAACCTTCTTTTAAAGGTGGTGCCATCTCAGTGGGACACATTCCCTCTTTCTTCTTTTCCCAGGCCTATTTACTTTCAGTCTTGGATGCTCAGCTTCAATGGAGGCACAGAGGAGGCTCTTGACAGTGTCTAGCCAAGAGCATGTGTCATGGCCTGGTCGTTAGGACCAGTAACGTAACTAAGGATGGTTGATCAGGGAACCAACCCTGGGTATTGACTCAGAAAGAGTGCAAGATCAGTAGCCACTGCCTCAGCTGCTGCCACCACTGCTCCAGGTGCAAAAACTGTGTTACGCCTCTGGTTGGGACATTTTTCTGGGAAGTGCCCTAACAACTATACTACTGAGGTGAAAGGTCAGAGGGTCCTTCTCTACCATTTTGTTACTTACACAGTTATACACCTTCCCAGGGGGAAGTAAGAGCTAAAACCCTTTCAAGTAGGTCAAAATGCCACTTACTCAGCTAAAGATAGCCAAGTAGGGCCCTGACAGACTTAGAAGAAAAAGAAAATCCATGCTTTACCAGAACAGGTAGCATGTTAGTTTGACCTGGTTCCGCAGGGTCTGTATAGATTCGCCAATCTATAGACGTTGGATGAGCTGGTTCCAACTAACACAAGGCCTCTTCTAGGCATGTGCTGGGCTCAGTGTGGGGGCGCACTGAATTTAAAACAGTGTTTGGGCTGGAGGGGGGTTACATTTGTAAGCAGCCATAAGTGCTACTTATCCATCTAAAAAGTAAAGTTGAATGTGGCCTAAGAACACATGTGTAATATACCGTACAGCTGAAAGAGCCCTTACAGAGATTACAACAGCTCTTACAATGAAAGGAATTCTCAGATCAGACGTAAGTAGAATAAATGCATGAACTGGAACATAAGTTGCCCAACTACCCAGGTGATCATATACTGAATAGCATTTACCAAGTAATACAGTAACAATTCTACTGCAGTATACTGATCAATTAAATTAATTTAAGGTGCTATCATTGTAGGCTTAAGACTTTAATAAGATATTCAATATATATCCCTCACTTGTGTCTGTTTTGTACAAAGAGTGCTTTTCAGAAGAAAACTGTTTGGTAAAAGATATAATTAACACATATTTCTTAATTAGTCCTTTTCCTCCAGCTCCAGGGGATCAGATACAACTTTGTATTTACCTACGAAACTAAGTTTTGGACATGAACTTGTATAAATTGAGGATATTACTTAGTTGGTTTTATGATAGGGAATATGGGTGTGGTGCTACCTAACATGCTACCATCACACATTACAACCAGAAGGCACTAATCCGCTGTACTCTCCCTCCACATTAGTCAATTACTTTTCTCCTTTTGAAGAGGACCATGTAGTGAGAGATTTTAGCAAAAGGTTCTTCAGGGAAGAGAAGTTTGGCTTCAGGCTCAATGAGATGAAAATCACCATTAGAGGATATAGAAGGTAGCCATCAAAGAAAGGAAACAATATTATTTGGGGTCCATCACAAGGGTTTAAGTGAATCAAGCCCTCAATCCTCACCAACTCCTCCTCACTCAAATACAAATGGTCAAGGTCAGCAAGTAAGAATTAGCCTTGAATTTTTCTCAGCAAAATTAATGAATGTTTTTTCTCAGCAAAATTCATGAACGCTGAAACCACTGGTTTTGTTTCTTCTCATATAGCATCCCCATACATATGGACTGTCGTTCACATCAACAATTGCTTGTTATTCTTTAGATTCACATGTATGCTTTTTCTGTAGTCCTTCCCAAAACTTTCATTGTCCCACTATTACTTTGGCTAATCCAGACAACCCCCAGACTCAATTGCTACAGACAGGAAAAAAAAAGAGTCCTTGCACTGGTATAACATTCATTATTTCCAATGGAAATAAGCTGTACAGTAAATAGTACTTTTTGCCACTGGAAATGAATCTACACAAAAGCTTTTGCTAGCACAGCTATGTCAATAAAATCACAACCTTAACTGGCACAGCTATGATGTTAAGACTAAAGTATGGATGAGGCATTAGTTCAGAGATTCAACTAGCTAAAATTTTAGCAATATTTAGATCTACTGATGTTTTGGTTCATATGAATATTATAGCACTTTACCCTAAGAACAGAGCAACTCCCTCATATTTTTGTCTTGTCTCTTTACTGCATGTGCCATGGCCTTCCCTTGGTCTTCCACCTAGATCAGGGGTGTCAAACATGCCCAGTCCCGAGGGCTGGATGAGTTACATGAAACCAGTCTATGTGCCAGATCTGGAGCATGTAGCCTTGTCACCTAGCCTGTGGGGATGGAAATTTGGCAGCAGAGGTGTTAACTAACCACTGTGGCTCCCAGAACCACAGCAGCTGTCACTTCTACTGCCAGATTTGGCCCTGCAGGCAGCCTCAGAAACCAGATGATACAGCTCCACGCTCCGGATCTAGCCCATGGGACTCCTCAAGGGCACAGAAATGTAGTAGTGGGATAAGCAGCAGTAGTATTCATTGCTGCAGCACTGGGAGCTATGGCTATTAACAATGCCATGGCTGGTTCTACCAAGCTTCCATGGGGAGCCTCATGAGATAAAAAAAACACAGCTGTATGGGCCAGATCTTGCCTACAAGCTGTATCTTTGACATCCCTAATCTAGAAGATGGAAAATGTGCATCTTGTTGGGCAACTCCTACTCATGCTGTTAAGTCATTCTTATCAACGTGGCCCCATTTTAAGAAGGTGTCTATTGCTTCATTCAAATACAAAGTGTTACATGTAATGTAAAACACACTGCTCCATTTCTGCAGTGCCACTGTCCAACTCAAAATGACATCCTGTATTTCCCACTGTGGTGTTTCCTGTGGTGTTCTTAAACTATAACGGTTAACACTCTACTACTTTGATGCAATATATTATTTTCTTGTGTTTTAATAAGCAAAACATTCAGGTTATATAGTCTGTTTGCATATCTGTGCTTACTACTTCTAAATCTATACATGGTTTAAAGGTAAAACATAACAGTCCTAACAGACACTTGTTAATTTAAAAAAAAAATAAATTCTTACCATGTTCAGTGAAATCCAGAAGATTTCAATACAGTCCCCTAGAAAAAAGAAAGCAGTCTTTAAAGATAGTCATTAGCCACATGAAAGTTTAACTCTGAAGAAACTATTGCCAGCATAATTCTACATGTTTAGTTAAATAAATAAATACTTATCTGATTAACAGTTGCCTGGAATCCTTTTGTGCTTGTATCTCTTGAGTTAGAGGCCATATTTTTTTAAGTGCACAGGAGATTTGAAATTGGAATCAGAGGACAACCTACAGCTTGATTCTAAGAAGTCTGAATCCAAAGTTACATGGAGAGCAAACTAAAATGCAGAATGTTTAGCATGTATATCTGACTTATTACAATACCCTTAATGAAAAGAGAAAAAAAACAAAAACAGATGTTTGACCAAGAATTTTTCATCAAGATAAGCTAAATCAAAGTTATGTTGTACTTCAGTCTAGATGAGATGCTATGGCAAGGGCTTCGATACATAGATGACCAAATTTACATAGGTTCTCAAAAGCTCCTCCAAGATGACCACATGGGTTATATGAACCAAGATATTAATACAACCAGTAAGTCAAAAAGGCCCCCAAAGTAATAATGTGTAGACCTGTATTAAGATAGCACATGCTTCCCTTTCTTTCTCCAAGCCTCTTTTTACTTCACTTTCTCATCTCTCCTGAGACTATGTTATTACCAGTCTCTTCAGGAGGGGAAAACAAAACCAAAAATAATTCAAAACAAACTAACTAACTAACTAACTAAGTTTTCAAGGACAGGAACTGCCTTTATTAGGTGGACAACACCTAGCACAACAGCAACATGACTGACTACCTGACCATAAGGTGTACAATGAATAATCCTATTCTATCTCAGTGAACATAACTTTCCTAAATATGAAACCATCCCTACCTTATACCATCTCCTTGTCCTTTACCTATTAGCTATCATTCCGTCCCTAGCTTCTTTCTTAGAGCGTTAACTTATGCAATACCCTCATCAGTTTTTTCACCAGATATGGAAGTAGCTCTACTCTATATGCTAAGTGACCTCTGCCTCTGAAGATGGCTGTATCAATACTGTTTTCTTTGATAGGAGAGACCACACCAGTATCTATTCCAGAGAGGGAGGAGTAACAAGGACTAATTCCTTCCTTCAGTGGTTCTTTTCTTGACTATCAAGCCTCCTACCTCTACCCAAAGGCACCCCCTCTGCACATAGAGTCAGTGAGACTTTATTTTCAGGGTCCTTGCTCATTTTTAACCTTCAGTTACCTTTTCCCACTCATCATCTTTATCATACAAACCGTACTATGTTGATAAAGAGAATGTATAATGCTCCATATCTTTACAAGCTAAATGAAAATACCCTTTTTTAATGTTGTGTTCACAAAAACTCTCTGGCTCTAAATCTCACTCGATATCCAGCATGTGTGGAGAGGCATGTATATTATGTTTATAAATATAGCTTGGTAAAATTTGGTTACAAAATTTCCTATGGCATGCAAAAAAGATTCAAATGTGGATACCTAAAATTAAGCTAAATACATACACACAGATGTAGGCTCCTAAATAATAAGAAGGACTCACTTGTTCAGAGGGTCAAGTACAAAGAATTTCAAAAGGAAACTAATCTTAGCACCGTCATACACACACACATCCCTCTTAATATAGGCACTTTGTATAACATCAAACACGCAGATTTTAAAAAGTTAAGACTAATCACTTGGCCAAGGCCATATGACACCTGACCTTAACACAAAGAGGTCAGGAGCCTTGAGACATGACAATATATAAGCAAAAGTAGTACTGCAGGTTTAGAGGAGCAAGTCAGCCTCAGACAAACAGTTCAGAGAACAATAGTGCAGCATAAACTACAAAGGGTCCCTTGGATAAAAGGTTCTCTAGGCACAGAAGTCTCATTATTAAGTGATATGATGGCCCAATCAGCCCTTTAATAAGCCATAAAATAGGCTTTCACTATGTTTTATATCCCAAATGAAGTTATTAACCCAGGGACTAGATCTCAGTGGAATCTTGCAAACAGTTCTGGAGACATTCAGGAAGTGAAACCATAAAATAACACTGACCAAACTCTTATATCTCTAATGGTTATGTTAAAAAGTTATGTAGCTTATGTTAAAAGCCTATCAAGTCAAAAGCCTTATATCTAGGAAGGTGAAGACTTACAAATTCCTTGCAATCATCTTCAACTAGAGGAAGATATACACAGACTGTACTCCAGAACTCAGATTTCAAAACTTAGCTTTTTAATTTAGATTCACTCTAAACTGCTGCAAAAGTTGCCTGGATAAAACTGGCAAAAGGAAAATATACCCTGAAAAACAGAACTGGGAAGACCAAGGGTATGTCTATACTCCACATTGTGGTGCAATTTAAAGATAATAAAGGCTGGTCTAGGTTTACTGAGAAGCGGGATAAATGAATCCACATGTAGCTCTGACTTACCACAGCTACACTGTGTAGGCCATACATAGGCCTGTGCAGCATATGCCATGGGTATGTCGGTGTCAGACTTGTCCATTTTCAAGACGTCGAGGTATAAACTGCAGAAATGTGGCTAAGGCAACAAACCCCAGAAGCCTGAGTGACCATAGCATGAACCTTCACAGATGTAATAACTAGCTGGTCAGCAAAGCAAAGGGAAACCATTCATATGTTTAATTAGATACAATCAAACACAGCACAAGGCCTAAAAAGGGAACACTATAACAGGAGTCTACTTAAATTGTGGAGAAACTAAACGATTTTCACAGGTTGGTCACGGCATAAATAGCAAACTCCACAGATATTTCCTGGATGTGCTCCAGGAGCCCCACCCCTCAGCACTGATTGATAGAAAGGCCCTGGCAGGGAGAGTGGGGACAAGGAGAGCAGCTGCCATCTGCTGCTCTTTGTGGTGCCCTGCCAGCAGGCACCTTCCCCCACCCGCACCCCCGGGCACGCTGCAAGGCTGAGCTGTAGTGGCAGTGAGGACTGCTGGATCCAACTGGGGAGCCAGTGTTTTATTTTTATTAAGTTTTTTTTTTAAGTTGATTTTGTGGACAATCCCAGATTCCACAGTTCCCACGAAATCCACAGAATTGCAAATTGAGCAGATCCTTAACTGTAACAAAGAACTGTAATCAAATAATCCAAATACTCTATACCGTAGCTTTAAAATGAAGTAGTGATTAATGTAACCAAATGTATTGAATAGTATTTTGCTATAATAGATGTATTTTTGTTAGAATGCTTGCCAACTTGTTAAAACAAAGCATCCTTTTCAGACCATAAACTAAGGTGGAGAAGTAACAAACCAGTGTGAAACACCATTCCACAATGGGAAGGGAAACGAAATAAGGAAGCCTCCCTTTTGCTCTCACAGGGATATAAATTCCAACTAACTGACACCTTAGCCCACAGAAACCTAGTTTAATCTGGTTTTGAGTTTCTGTGAGACAAAGAAATTTAAATACAACTATCAGAGGCCATTCAGAATCCTTAGAATATTGGAACCACCCATCTATAAATACTGGGCATAGGCTGGAGGGAAATTTGGACTTCTATTTTTGGACGTCTAAATTTGGACTTATCCAGAGCTCAGCAAACCAACTCAAGTCCCCAGGGGAACAGAGAAGCCTGGCCAGCAGACCTGTTTCTTCCCTGAATCTGAGGCTATGTAAGCATTGTTTTTATTGATCCAAATACGTCTTTGCTATTAAGTATCCTAATAAAGCTTTCGAGTTGTGACAGGACTGGTCTCACTGTATCAGTCTTCCTCTCAACCACAGTTAAAATTAAGTGTAACAAGTGCTTCCAGTAAAAATGTAAGGAAGCTCTTTTCTTCAGTAGCTTAAGGTAAGTAATAGCATTAGAAGCCCCATAAAGAAAGCCGGAAGGGCTATAAGAAACGCATACAACTTAAAAAGAAATGCCCATTCAAGACTGCAGCCTCTTATGTATTTACTGTCCCACATTTCAAAATGGTGATGGGGGCACTTTAACTAAAGCTCATTCAATGAGTTTTAGTTAAAGCACCCCCTGCCATTGTTTTGAAGTGCAAGACACTGAATACACAAGACACTGCAATCCTTTTAATTAGAGTAGCTCGCAAGAGCCCTCCCCCCACCCCAGAGCACGTGTGTAGGCAACCAATATTACAGAAAGGCTAACTCTGCTCAGAACTTCCCTGACAGCACAAAAGTAGCTGCCAACTCCTTTTTACAAGGGATGACCATTAAGGCTGTGAGAAGCTTCAGTCCTTGATTTGATTTGGCAGAGATTTGGCGACTGAATCTCCGAATCCATATTGAATCAGGAAACCCTTTAATCTCTCTGAATCGATTCAGAAAAATTCAGAAAGACTTGATGATTTGGATATAGACACAGCTTTAAATGTTGTTTCTACATACCCCAAGGTACCAGGTGGCTCATGAATGGTAAGATGGTGGGGCGGAGGGAGTGTCCCACTGGAGCTTGGGGGGCTCCCCAGCGTGGTCAGCAGCAGACCCAGAAGTGGACCAGAAGCACTTCCGGTCCACTCCTGAGTCTGCCAGGGAGCACACGGGATGGCTCCCCTCGCTCCCCCCTGGGTCAGCAATTGGAGCCTCCTAGGCTTGGAGGGGCACCCAGGGTCCCCCCACAGCTGATTGCTGAGCCAGAGGAGAACACAGAGGAGAGGGGCCCCAGTGCACTTGGAAGTAATTCTGGTCCACTTCCGGGTTCACTGCTGAGCATGCGGGGGGCGCCCCCGCACTCTTGATTCATCCTCCCTAGCATCACATGGTCACAAGCCGCGCCTGGTACCTCAAGGTATGTAGAAAAAACATTTAAAGCTGGGTCTATGGCCAGATTGCTGATTCTCCAAATCAGCCTCTAATCTTTAGATTTGGATTTGGCCGAATTGAATCAGGGACAGTGATCTGAATCAACAAATCGAATCACTGTCCCCAATGCAGGCCAAATCCGAATCAAATATGGCCCATTTCAGACAGCCCTAATGACCATTGCACATAAAACATAGGCAGAATTGGTTAAAACAAAACAAAACACCATATACAGCCAAAGAATACTCCAATACATTATATGTGGACATTCGACTTGAATAGAGTATCCAGTGGAAATAAAAGCTTCCCTTTTTGGGGTACAGATATTGGCAATTACTACAGAAGGACAGCAGTGGAGATACTCCCCATTTCCCTTGCATCATTTTGTGGCACAAACAGCTTCACCAATACAAGGTGCAGCCAAAAACAGAGAGCAATTGCAGCCCCAATATTCCTTTTTTATTTAATAAATAATGATGCTTACATTCTTCCTCTTGATCATACCTGCTGACAATATACACCAGAGTGGAGTGGGGTGGGGAGGAAAGAGCGTCAGCATTTCCTCTAATATGACATTTTGTTGAGAGGTCTGCCCATCCACCAACATAGACGTAGGACATTCAGTTATGCTGAAGAAACCAGTATTTCCTCTGATTTACATATACAGAAGGACAAATGAAACAGACCAGCAAATATGTTCCTCTACTAAATGTTGATTTAGAGATGTCTCATTTTTAATATCATATACGTATTTGCCAATGTCTGCTTTAGTTGACATATGCAGCCTAATACTGTATTTTACTGATATTGCAAATGGTATAACCAATCTCCTCAACTCTGTGGATTAGTATTAGAGGATTAGTATGATGTGCAGTGCAGTTTTAGCTTACAGAGCATTGCCATAGTGTGTAGGGTTATTGATTTAACTTATAAATTCTGCTATGTTATGTAGTTTTACTGATTTACCTTTTTGGGCAGCAAGAATCTTTCTCCCAAAAAATCTTAACATTCTTTAGTATCCATATCACACAACTTCAAGGCTGGAAACCAAAACTAAAGGCTTTTTAGGTTTAATGCCTCTTTCCTCCTCATACTCTGTTCAGGCCAAATAAACTTGGTGCTTCTTCTCTTTCAGCTACATATCAAATGAAGATCCATTTCTTAGGCAAGAACATTCACATGTACAGGAACACTCCACTACATACTCTTTTTCTAGGTTCAAGTCTCCAAACAAAGTTTACTTTCTATACCCTGGGCACCAATTCTGTTCCATCCATTAGGTGAAATTGGACTTAGGCACCTATGTGCAATCCTACTATACCCTGCTGAAGTAAAAAAAAAATATAAAAAGTTACCTAACTGGGATATCCTCCTCCTCTTTGTGGCTCAATTGTAAGGGTATAGATGATAGTACAAAGGTACATGTACGTAAGTAGATGAATTAACTCATTTTCAGGAACAAGATGGAATAGAGAAAGAATCAGACTTCAGTGCCTAAGCCTATTTAGCTATGCAGTAGTTAGAATAAAATTGAATCCTGGGAGTTAATTGGTCCACTTCCCTCCTGCATTTTTGTACAGCAAGGGCAGAAGTTACACAAACTCATTTATGTCATCAGAAACTGGTTTAAACCCATAACAGAATAGAAGCTCAGTACACATAAACCAGTTTCAAAATGACTGAAACTGGATTAAGATAAACCTGGTTGAATGTAGTATCAGACTTAAGTGATTTGGGTCAAACCAGTTTATGAAACCTCTGTCCCAGACCCCTTCCTGGTGCAAGTTAAATCACAGTTCCCCAGCATCCTAGTATGCTTTCCAGCCCTGGGCTATGCTATGCTGTGCTGTCTGCTCCAGCAGAGAAGGGTTGGGGGCAGGGGGGAGGCAGGGACTGCCCCCCCAAGGAAAATCCCAGCTGGGGTCTGGGGCCAGAGAGAGGGGTTAAACATCCCTTCCCTGAGTACAGAGCTGCCCTGCTGCTAAACTTACTAAAACTTAGTGCTGGCTGCGACTGTGGACTACAAATCCCAGAGGCACCTGGAAGCAGGAGGAAGAAGAAAACACACAGTCCATGCTGGCTAGGTGCCAAAGAGGCTTGCTTTAGCACTCCCCTCCACCCCCCAGCTTCTGGCCTGATCCACGGCAAGCATGTGGCTCATTTCCTGAATCACAATATGTGTCCAGTTGTTTCTCAGTTGAATCTCTGCAGCTTAGACTAACGTGCAAAGACTGAATCGATTAAGTCTTGGGCTTTTTGACTGTCTGTACTTAGCCTATGTGTCATTTTCCTTCATCTGCAGTGGTTCTCAGGTATGTCAATAAAAATGTCCTTATTTCCATCTCCAGCCCAACAGACTTTAGGCCTTTGATCCCTTACCTCTTGACTATTTAGGAACTTGCTCAGGGTCCTGTCCTAAGACTGAACAGCACACACTAAAAAGAATAACAGGATGTTCTTGCCATCACTGAGTTCCCATTTCAGTAGTGACTTTAAGAAAAAAGTGGGCACTAGGGGGAAGAGAGAGAGGGTAGAAAGACAGACAAACAATCCAACTCCCAAAATAACTATCTGGCTTCCCCTTCACTTCCACTCTACATTCCTTCCAACCTACCCACTTTCATCTGTCTTCTATCCTATACCAATTTAATCACTATTCATTGCAAAAACATTCTCCTTGTCACTTCTGTCATCTATATACCATATCTACTGGAATACAAGATGACCTTGAATGTAAGATGACCCCACAATAATTAGATTCTACACATGCAAAATTTATAAATTGATTATAATTTTCTATGTATGGAATCCAACTACTGGAGAATCATCTTACATTTGAACACCCCCCCCCCCCCCCC